CATTAAGTTCGGCCGGGCCGAACTTTGAATACCCTCTACCATTTGGAACGAATTTGGAATTTTTCATAAAATCCGTTAAAAACTCTGTGAAAATCTTAACAATACCGAATATAGCCGTTATATTGCGGTCTATACGAAGTGGACCTACATAGGTATTGTTTGTCATAAGCCATTACCATATTCAAATTCTAACCTTGAAATAAACGGTGAATAATGTATGGGGAGGTACCGTTTTGTCGGAGCTATACGAAGACCTGGTCCTGCATACACAATTTTTTGTCACAGGCTGTAGCATCCATTACCAACTTCAATTACAAAAACTCAAACAATTTCAGTGAGTATTTTACCTAAAATCGTCAAAATACCGAATATAGGGAGGTACTGAAATATGGGGCCTATACGAAAACCTAGGTATGCATAAACAATTTTCTGTCACAGACTGTAGTTCCCATTACGAACTCTAAATACGTAATTTGAAACAATTCTGCTGAAAAATGTCGCTAAAACCATCAAAATACCGAATATAGGGAGGTACCGTTATATGGGGGCTACACGAAGACGTGGTCCTGCACAGACAATTTTCTGTCTTAGGCTGTAGTATCCATTTCGAACTTCAAATAACAAATCGGAAACAATTCCAATTCCTAAAATCATCACAATACCGAATATCGGACGGTACTGTTATATGGGGCTATATGAAAACGTGGACCTACATGTACCATTTACGAACTTAGCCTGCCCACTCGCAAAATAAACATGTGTGCAAAATTTTAGCCTTCTATCTCAATTCGTTCGAAAAATAGCGTGATTAAAACAAACTTTGTTGGGTCTGACATGAGTATTGCTAGGAGTTACAAACGGAATGACAAAGTTAATATACCCTCCATAGTATGGTGGAGGGTATAAAAATAATGGTAATTTTTTCTTCTAATATTTACGTAATACATGCCTGAACCCTATTTAGGTGTCTATCCAATACTACAAAAAAATCAGTCTTTCGTTGTCATTTTTTTCTTCCGTTTGCTTTGATTTGACATCTCTTCCATTTTCCATTCGCCTGCTAATGATGGAAAACTCAATGGCAAAAAAAGAACATCAACAAACAGACAAGGGTTACAACATCGTATGTGTCCCATATTTCACATAAAATAACCATTAATTAAACCATCATCAATATCATCCGTAAACGACGGAAAAAAAGAGTGGCGGCAACACCAGAGGCACCAATACCATTATCGCCATCATCATTCCGGCTAGTTAGTGCAGCAGGCCATCATCATCATTTTTTATCGCACGTTGACACCATAACAACTAAATTAACTTTTTTTCTCCCTCTCTCTCTCTCTCTCTCTCTCTCTCTCTTTCCAATTTTGATGGTTATTGTTGTTCTTGCTCGAACTAACAAAAACAACAAGAAAAAGTAAAGGCTTAAACTATTATCATTCATTCATCCATATAAACAAAAAACCGAACAAAAAAGAAGGCCTCTGGACCAAACCTATAATTTTCTATTGCCTTACATTATTAGACATTAGCCGGCAGTTGTTGTGGTAGCGCGCACAAATCAAATCAGGCAAAAAAAAAAAGCCAAGCAAGCGACACTAGCTCCGATGATGATGATGCAGATCATCATCAATCATTCTTAAATCTTTAGCAGCGCCGTAGAAAAGTCAAACCAAACGACTACTGTTTTTGCAATTGATGACAAAACAATATGTGTGGCGGTGCGGCACATGTCAGGCATCGAGTTAGAGAGGAGAGCGCGCGATAGCGCACCTCCAGCCAAAAAAGGGGTTTATTTTCATGCACTTGGTGGACTAATGCAATTTGGGAATCACAAAATGAAGATCAAATGTGGTGGACATCATTATCGAGACACTAATGCCAAGAGCATCATCAATTGTTGACTTTTTAAGCGTTTCTTTAGATGGATGTTGGAAAATTCATTTATCATTTATTGGGTGGAGAAAAAAAAACGACAGAGACACAGACAGATATGTCAATCAGGACGACCTTGATAAAGGGGTGACAATTAATTAAATTTTTTCATTTTGGGAAAATATAGCCCCGCATTTTGGGAAATAGCGAGTTAAAAAAATTTTACTAAAATTGTTATAACAACTTGGCAACTCTGTCTTCGAGTTTTGTTTCACAGTTTTTTCAGCTCATCCTTATGGGGGTATGCGACATCGTGAACCTATATAGACAACTCTATTCCAGGGAGTAAAGTACATAGAAGGAAGTCCTTGCGTGTATTTTAAGACAATTCCATTATAAAATTTGGCTACAATCTTCAAAATACCGAATATTGGAAGATACTGTTACATAGGGGCCATACGATATATGGTCCGATATAGTCCATCTTCGCAAGAGCTTGACCTGCTCACATGTGGCTTTTTAAGACGTTGACAAGCAACATAAGTAATGACGATCTTGTTGAGGGGCGAGTTCGATGAACATTTCACTTCAAGTTCGGGACCAATCAATTGGGCGCCAGATCGTGCGAAAAAAATACTTCAAAAACTTCAACAATTTTATAAAAAGTTGATTTCCATAACTTCATAATTTTTTTTTCTTGAAAATTTTCAGTGTCAGATATCCTTTCGCCTGATGACATTTTCAAAAAATGCATATTTCCATTTCTGCGTGGGAATCTAACACAGGTGATTCAATGTTTCACTTTCGAAATTAGATGGCGCAAATGTTAATAACCCATTTTTTAAAAATAGTCCTTGCCTTATCCTTTGAGCAAGGTTTAGCTCTTCCTGTGAACTTGTAACCCTCCTCTGAGGTGGTGGGTAAGTTGCAGGCCCTCTTAACACATAGTTAGAATGAATGCAAAGCCAACAAAGAAAGACGAAGCAGAAGAAAAACAATCCCATACCCCAAGCACTACCACCCTTCCTCTAAGTCAGACTGCCAGTCACCCCGGACACCATATGACACAAGGCCAAAATGCAATTGACTTTTTAATTTTAAACACAAAAGTCCGCTCAAGTCAATGTCAGAGGTTGAGCCACCTGTGTGCCCTGCTTGAGTCAAAACCGCAAGAAAAAGTCACGAAAATCTTCTCGTCCTTTGTGTAACATCCCTTAGGTTGGCCGGAACACCACCTGCCTTGGCATACGTTTGGACAATTTGATTTAATTTCTGTTGGCCGGTATTTGCTGTTGTCCGTGCCGTTATCATGTCAAATGTGGCTTTCAATCAGTTGCGTATCTCAGCGGTTGCTGCTTCTTTTTAACCAAGTCCCAGGTCCTAGGAGAATTTGAATGCAACAACAACAACAAAAAAAGACCTTGTGGCCCACAACTCAAGTGTTGTGTGTTGTGTGGATGTCAGCCTTTTGTTGTACTCTACTTTTGGGTATGATTTGTTGTATTTTCAGGGGTGTCCTGGGCAAATATTATTAAAGTCCACGACCATTTTTTGGCGGTGTGTGCATACAGGTGAGGGTGTTTACCCTTATTTGAGGTGCTGCTCTACCACTACCATGTGAGAGTGTGTGAGTGTGTTCGTCTGATGTTTGGTATGCATACAAAAGCCAATTATCTATTCATTTTCATATGTTTACGTGTTTAACGAAAACTAAGCGAAATAATAAAAAAAACCCTGGGTGGGTAGTTATGGGTTAGGGAAAATCGTGAAAAGTCCTTGTTTTTTAGTTGAGCTGTGGCAAAATGAATGAGTGGGCTACTGTGATAAACTGGCTAGGTGTATGAGTGTATATGCGGTCAAGTGGAACCGAGCGACCAGCAGAACATCAGACAAGAGCTTCGTACAAAGGACACTTGACGCTTTACAGGACTCCATGGTCAAACACTTGTTCAACGGAAACGGAAGAGTCAAGTTGTGTGTGCGCTCAGTGAAGATTACTCAGAAGCAAAACAAAAACGAAACGACGATCCTTTGAAGAAGACCAAGAAGTCTAAAGGAAGAGTTAAAAAAAAGATCTTCAAAGTAAAAAAATAAATAAAATTTGTGAAAGGAAAAGTGTTAAACTATTTGAATAAAGTGAGTTGATATAAAAAATAAATTAAAAAAAAACATGAATGAAGATCCAAGGTTCAGAAATAAAAATGTATCAAAAGGAACAATTTAATTTAAAAAAATATATATATATTTTAATTTAAATGAATAGAGACTTAAATATGGCAAATGCATTTTAGTTTGATTCAGTGGGTCTATTTTTTGAATAAGTTCTGAGTCAGCACACTCGCGTTATTACCTGATATAATCCGAGCAATTTTTCGGACTATTTTTTTCCTTTTTTTGTATTTTTTTTAAATATATTTAAGGGTCCCAAAACTATAATACCGAATTCTATTCCCTTGTCAATTTTTATAGAGAGAAATGGGAAGCCGCTGAGGCAATTCCTCAAAATGCTTTAAATTTAGTTAAAATAATTAAACTTAAATTAAACTTAAAATCAACTCCTTGATTTTTTCATATTTTGTGATTTATTTTCTTTTTTTTGTACTTCCAGAATATATTTTTCTCAAAACAAGTTATTTTTTGGTTCGATGAAAAAAAAGTTTTGTTTTGAAAAAATATATTCCTGAGGTAAAAAAAAAAAAAATAATAAATCACGGAATATTAAGAAAAACTTCACCTCCAAATCGTTATTAAATGGAGTTACTTTAGATAATTATAAAGCGTTTTGAAGGATTGCCTCATTTTTTTTTCAAAAAAATTATTATACAATTAATTATTATAGTTCTGGAAGTCTGGAAAATAATTAAAAAAATTAGAGGAAATAATAAAATTCTATATTTAGTTCTGGGAGTCTAAAAAATTATTTAGAAAATTTTAAAATATGACTATCCTTTGCTTAACTGCGCCTTAAGAATTTTAGGAAAAATTAAAAAAAAAATACCATAGTAATTTTTACAGTTACAATTCTTACATCAATTTTGATTGCAGACCTATTAGTGCTTCGACCTCATAAACCCTTTAAAAATTAATTTCTAAATAATTTTATATCTACCTACTCTTTTCAGTTTCATTCTATGGTTCAAATTTAAATCACGACGACGATTATCGAGACAACAAAGACAAATCATCGGAACATCTAGATCCTGCATTAAGTGATGATGAGAATGGTTTTGATATACGCTGTGAAGTTTGTGATAAAACCTTTGGAGATATAGATCGGTAAGTAGTCGAAAACCCCCTCTCTTACAATCTGACATTTACAATTCTTAACACACTCTTGTATCGCTCACACGTGCAGACTCATACAACAAAATATATAGATCCCAATGGGAATAATTAGGCGGTGATAATTACAAGGCTGAAATAAATCAAAACGAAATGATTTACCGCTTATAATTTGTCATTTACTCATCAGCACACCTCTTGCTGTTTTTGGGAGGGGGGAAGGAAAAACTTTTGGTTTTCTTTTATTACAGCAACAAAAACTAATGTTTAACAAGTGTTGTTGAACACCTCTTTCTGGGAAAACCGAAAAAAACAATAAATAATTAGGCCTAATTTGTGTAATACCGAGAGACAAGGAGGAGTTGCTCGTTATGCAGACAGAAGGGTTAAAGGGTTATTGGGTCTGTTATTATCAAGTGAATGATTATCCTCAATACCAAAATAAAAATACAATCAGTGCCAACACCCAATGTCTATAAATTATATATTCAATTAATGAGTTGGCGTATAAACTTACCTCAATAGTATTTTTACTTTTTTGGAAATTTATTCGGTTTGGAGTGGAAATGAAGGTGTTGCAGTGAAAGCCCTTTGCGGTTATTTTGTACTAGAAATAAACAAAAATGAAAGAAAATGAAAGTTAAATTAATAGGTTAAAATATGTATCACTTAATTTTAAATCTTAATTATGTTAGAAATTATTTAAAATTATTTGAAAATTGTGGATGTGAATTCTCAAAAATTCTTTTTTAAAAAAATTGCCAAAGTTTAAAAAATGCCTGTAATTTTTTCAGAATTTCATTTCTCTGACCTTCTCTTTCCCTCTTTCAAAACTAGCAGCAATTAGGCATTTCGACGATTTTCGGCACATTTTTGAACGGGTTTATCTGGAATTTGGTATTTGAAAGTTTCTAAGGGTCCCTTAGCCCTTTGCAAAAATAGTTAATATTAGTCCACATTGTGGTGTATCTCCCATATACAGGGTGAGATAAAAAACTACAAAAAAGTCAAACGCCATACTTTTTACATTTTTTTTTTTTAAATTTTATTGAATGAAAGCAAAAAATGTCGGAAATAGCATCAATTTTTAGAATAATTTTAGATTTGTTCGAATTGGTCACCTTTGGCACAAATTATGGCCTTCAAACGGCCAATGGAATCTCCAAGGTCCGCGGCCAAAATGTTTGCGTGCCCAAGGCTTTAATACGCCCTCCAGAATATTCTCATTATAATATTCGACATTTATTCTGAATCTACGGAAGATTAATACGAGCGGAGAGCGACCATCGGAGAAAACCAAATTCGGCAGTTCACCACTTTCGGCCAAGCGAAGCAACTCTTTAGCTCTTTTGAGCCTATTTTCTTTCCGTTACGGTTCAAGTTCTTCAACTTTTTGGATATTCAATTTAACCCGAGCTCATTTTTCCATATTTGCCGAATGGAATATATTTCTGCCATTGCGACTCGGGCTTCGATCAAGTCGCTTCTTCACTTTTCGAAATATTTCTGCTGTTGTTGCTGTTTTCTTCCGTCCACTTCCACGATAACGAGCGTCGGTAACAAGTGATGGTACGAGACACAAAAGATTTATTCGCATTTAAATGCTGGAGTGCTCTAACGATAGCCACTTGTGGTTTTCCAGCCAAATATAAAGAAATCACACTATCACGCTTGAATTCCATCACGAATAACTTTTTCCGGAAAATTCTTGCAAAAATGCTTTTGTAAATGCACTAAAACTGTTGTTCCTTTTATTGGATTTTAGAATTTTCTAATTACCAATATATAGCCACGAGTTCTCTTCGTTCAACTCCAGCATTATGTTTACTTCCAGACATCTCGTCGATCACTTGCATAAGTGATAATCCTTTTAATCAATTTTGCAGATCAATGCTACTACCAATACATCATGGACTGCCAAATGAGGAACCTTGACCTCAGCCATTTATTGGATGAAACCTCAGTAAGAGATATCTAAAATTAGGAAAAAGTTGTCCATGCCTATTTGGAGTAGGACATTTTATTTAGAGGACTTCTACAAGAAATAAGTATCTCCTAGATATTTGTGGTACCTCGATGCCAATTATTGGCTGATTATCCAGAGGTCTCGTATTCGCAAAAAGCTTAAAAAAACTTTCCAGAATTTCTAATTTTTCCCAAAGCGATCTTGTTTTTCCAAAGGCGTGTCTCAAAATGGGGACTAACGTCGATTTATTTATTTATTTATTTTTTTTTTTTGAAAAAATTATCAAAATTTAAAAATTCCATGATAAGGCTTTTTAGACTACGAGGTGATAGGAACACACTTCAATTCTCCAATAGTTTCGAATTATATAAGCAATGTTCAATGTTTCCTAAATTTTCTTTCTCATACTTCAACTCCTTCCTACTCCTACTTCTCCTCGAAGAATACTTGATTGTGGTAATTATTGGAACAATGTCTTCTTTACGATTGAATTATCATCCAAGTAACCTTTGAAAAATAATCAAACACACAAGCAAACATTGCTCCCCTGCAAAACAAATTTGTTTGCCCGCCAGTCAATATTTGCCCAATAGTTAGCCACCGTCAAAGAAGAAAAGTGTTAACAGTGGCGGCTTAGCACAACGCTCGCTGAGGTAAATATTTACCGCTTAAGTGGACACACAGCAAAAGTGTCAATTACTCTACACAAATTCATTTCAAGTGGCCGCACTGCTCTCTCTCCTGGCCAGGCCATTACAATGGAGTGCAAATGCATGCAATCGCAATAAAACGCTGAGCTATGGTTTAGATTTTTTTCTGTTTTTTTTTTTTTTATGGCTGATGACATGATTTGCTTTGGGAAAAAAGGACACTTGAAGAGCCATGGCATGTGTTGTCATTTGTTGGTGGTGTTGGTTAATGGATAATTTTGATTTTACAACAACACGCAAATGACAAATCACAAAAATCATCACCAAATGAAGGCAAGTGACGGACAGCCAGGCAGCACATGTCGAGCAACAACTTGAAAAGCAGTTACAGAGGATTCCAAAGTTGTGGGTCACCATGTCCCTTTCGGTGGCCATGTGGCCATCCCGTGCGACCTTTTGACAATTAGGTTTTGGTGTTTGTTGTCGTTGTTGTTGTGTTGAAGAGTGGGCCACTGATGAAACCTTTTGATTTGTTGCATATTAAATGAAAATATTCATACACATTTGTCAGTGGCCGAAGGGGAGGTGCCCACCAACTGAATCAACAGAGGATGCAGAGGGGAGGCAGCAAAAAAAAAAAAGGATTTTATCTGATAATTTTCTAAATAAATGGGGAGTTGACTAGTAAAACAACAACAACAACGAAATGTGAAGTGTTTGTGATTTTGCCTTTTTTAGTTTTTCTTTTTTTGTTGTTGTTGTATTTTGGTAAATGTTTTCATGTCAAAAAGATTTCAATCGCTCCATTATTGAACTTCTAACTAAAAGGAGAGTGAGTGTGTGTATGTGTGTGTGTGTTTTGTTTACATTGTAATTTATTTAAATGAAATGTGAATTCTGACACATGTTGAGCGCTTTTGATGTATTAAACAAATGACACTTGTCTTTTAGCTGTGATGGAACGGAAGGCTAATTAATTTAATTCGGTTTTTCTCATTTCTCTTTTTTCTCTCTATCTCTCTTTACAGACTCGATGACCATTTAGTGGGTGCTCATCATTTTCGCAAAGACGAATTTCTGTGTGAATTGTGTTCAAAACGTTTCTGCCATCGTCCTGTGCTGCTGAAACATCGGGCATTGGTCCACAACGAAATCAGGAAATATCCTTGTGAAAATTGTACCAAGGTAAGTGGGGCTTCATTGTTTTTTTGTTAATTTCGTCTATTTTTTTTTTCTTGTGAAAAAATAAGCTTGTTTTTTTGGATGATGGATTATGGTCTTAATAATGTTTATTTTTATCTGTTGACCATGTCGCATTTTTTTCTAATTTCGATTTTTTCCTTCATCTCAATGAGCTTCAATTGTCCATTGTTTTGAAAAGAGAAGAAAACAATAAAAAAAATGAAAAAAAGTAAATGTCTTGTCATGCAGACACACTCATGCATGTTTTCGGTTGACAACGAAGACAACAAAAAAGAAGTGTGAAGATTGATCAACTTGAAGAAATCTTTTTGTTTGTGATTAACAGAAATCTATTTTATCAACTATCTGAAGACAAAAAAACCAGCAACAACGAGAAAAATGCTTAAGCAATGTGACGCGATCAACAAAACTTTTGATTTCTAACATATCAATATTGCCGTCGGTCATTTGTGCTTTGATACCCTCCTTTTTTGTCCAGCCTCAGAGCTTCTACTGTTTTTGTTTAAAAAAAAAAAAAAAAATAAAATAAAATCTCCTTTGTCTTCTTTCAAAGTCATTTGGGTGGACAGTGGTTTGGAATCGAAAAGATCATGGCGAAGGTTTGCTCGTTTTCTCTCGAGAGTAAAACTTTCTCGCGAGTAGAATTGCTCGAAGAGTTTAATTTTTTTACGGAGTCTACTCTTCACTCCTTTTGTTTCGTGTGGCAGCGCTCCCGAATCACTCCGTGTTGAAAAATTAGAGTGGGGGTCGAATAGCCCGAAATAGAGTAAGATTTTACTCTAAGAGTGAAAATGAGTGAAAAAATTATTGTGTGTACCTGCGTGCAACAGCAAACCCGTGTTGATGTTGCTGTAAAAGAGGGGTGGAAGAAGGATGGACAAGGTGTGAAACATACCGATAGCAAGGGTATGACAAAAATTAAAAGAGTGCTCGGCACTCAAAAACGAGCAAAACATGCTCACTCATATTCGAGCGACATCGAAGAATTCAGTTTGTTCGATTTTTTCCGCTCCTTGGAGCACTCCCTCTCGAATTCAAGTGAGTTTCGCTCTCTATTCAAATTCCATCGAATTTTTCGGAGGTCTGGATGAGATACTTTTTTTGATAAAACAAGTAAAAAAAATAAGTTTGAGCGGCCAAAATTTTAATACCCTCCACCTTAAGGTAAAGGAAACATTATGACCACAAATACCAATTTTTGGACATATTCGTGGAAAAATGTGCCAAAAATCATCAAAATACCGAATATCGGTAGGTACCGCTATATGAGGCTATGCAAAAACGTGGACCCATTAGGACCCACAAATACCAATTTTTTGATAAATCCGCGAAGAAATGTGGCGAAAATCATCAAAATACCGAATATCGGGAGATACCGTTATGTGGGGACTATACCAAAACGTGGACCGATACATCCCCTTTTCAATACCAACCATCCTAGACACAATACAAATTTTTCTGCTAAATTTTGACTCTCTACGGTTGAGGTCCTCATAGCATCCTTCATCATCCTTTCTTTTAAAACTACGAACAAGACCCTAGGAACAAGCAAATTTTTTCCTAATCGAAGGACCATTGCTACGAAAATTCACATTTTCTTAACTTTTTTTTATTGATATAGTTATCTTTGATTTAATTTTCGTCCTCTTCCTCTCTCTCTATCTCTCTGAGATTAACCACAAATAAGTGTTCCATCTTTTCCAAACACTCCTAACCACAGTGCAATCAAGCCGCCCTCATCCATATCAACAAAATTTGAAAGAAATAGAAAAAAAATCGAAATCAGTTAATATATCCAGCGTCCATCCATCCATCTATCCAGATACCCTTCCCTTCACAACGACGAAAAAAACAGAAATAATAACAATTGGAATGCATTAAACAATTAAACATTATTTGGAATTAAAATACTTGGCTGGTTACACTTGAATGTCTCGATTCGTTATTTATGGTAAATTTGGATGTAGCAACAATGAGTGGCTAGCTGGCTGGCTGGCTGGCGATTAGGGCGTGGACCATTTGTGGTGGCCAACAACGGACAATGGTTAACACTGACATTGGAGGGATTTGTTGAGGGGGGAGATAAAAGAGTTTTCATAGCCTTAATTTATGACATTATTTTCTTGCACCTCATCAACCACCAGACCTCAGTTGTTGCTTCATCTGCTGGGGTCGGCTGTGGTCGTCCATCAATAGCTTCTTTATCGAGCTCTCTGCGCTCACTCCATGTCCAATCATCATTATCATAAATGTAAGAAAAAGGTAAGCAGCATTTGCTGCTGTTAGTAATGTTTTTCTTATTTTGTGGCAAGAACCACAATAGCAACAACAACAACAGAGGCTTAATGGATTTTGAACATCAAAAGATTACTAAGCTTAAAATGCTGCTGGATGTTCTCCAGCAGTAAAATACCCAACGATGCTGGTGTTCAATTGTGGTTTTCTAATTTCATTTGATGATCAACCTGACCAAAGTCAGTTCGATTTGCTGTTGTTGTTATCTTCAACTCATAAATCCAAGAAGGAAGAAAAAACAACAAAAACGTTGAAGAAGAAGCAGAAGACAAAGTGTTATCTCGGCCACTGTGTCTTGTCGGGACCGTTACAATTACGCTGTCATTGCATTCCGAATCGAGTTCATCAATTTAAAGAAAATATGGTCGGTAATGAATGTAATTGTTGGGCTCTTTTTTTCGAAGACTAGTTTCGTTTTTTCGTCTTCCTCTTCTCTTCTGCTTCTTAACTGGTGTTAGGATGTGTCTGGTCCTCGAAGTGTATCATTTGTGGTCATTATGATTATGCACTTACAACAATTGCTAGCATTCCAAAGCAAACCTTTGTGAAATCTGGAGAAATTGATGTTGGCTCTCAATAGAGGTCGTTAGTAGTCAATAATCTAACGAAGAATGATCAGGTGAAAGAAAGGCATTCTTTAGAAGTTGGATGATGGAATTATGGAGATATTGCATTGAATATGAGATATCTCATATGGATATTATTAGATGGAATTAGAGTAGAAAGTTGGTATTTTAGGATAACTAATCGGGGTTTTATCTGAAGTTTTAAAGGACTTCTAATTCTACAAACGTATTTTTAGGGAATAGCTATGTACAGGGTGAGATAAAAAAACTGCAACAAAATCAAACGCCTTCATTTTTACATTTTCTTTTTAATTTTATTGAATGACAGCATGAATGTCGGAAATATCATCAAATTTTAGAATAAATTTAGATTTTTACGAATTGGTCACCTTTGGCGAGAATTATGGTCTTCAAATGGCCAATGATACCGTCACACGCTGCCCGAATGTTGCTCTGCGGTATTTTGGTTCATTCCCGGCGAAGCTCTTCTTTAGGTGATCGACACTTTGGTATTTTTTAGTGCCAACCTTGCATTCCAAAATACTCCAGACACCGGTTACTTTTGATGACAAGAAACCTTCACCAGATTTTCGGTTCCTTTAGCTTTCAAATCGTACACCGACTTTTGAGGCTGATTAGAACCAGAAAAAATTGTCGTTACCAAATAATGAGTTGACAGCCGTAACTACTTACCTGCCAACCCATTATTTTTCCGAGGAAATTTCACGCAGTTTTCTATTTGGCGCCCAAGAGATAAGAAATTGTAGAACAAAATTTTTTGAAATGTTAGAATCCACTTTTCCAATTATTTTGTTTTCCCCACTTCTGGGATTGAACTCGCAACCTTATGATTTGTTGTTAAACGTTCAGCCCAAACAAAAAGCCTTATAACTAAGTGATTCACTCATCGTATTTTACCATTTTTGTTCGTTTGATAACACCGAGATTCGAGTTCGCATACTTCGGTTTCGTAGTTGGAAGAACACATTACTTGCTGACATCACTCATTACTTGGTAATAAGAAAAGATAATTGTTTTACCCTGTATTTAAAAAATAAGCCATTGTTTTCCACCTACTGACAACGCAGAAGGATATTCGTTAACACTTTTAATGGGTTATTCGACTCCCAAGATTTTGCTGTTTTTTTTAATTCTCCATTTCAAGATTCCATCAGACAACGCTTAACTAACTTTTCAAAAATACCTTTTACCATTGATCCAATTATTTGACCTCTTTGACATTTTCAATGGTGAACCTCGTACTCCATTCGAATTAGAAAGAAACCAAAGTTTATTTCTCCCCCCCCACTTTTTTTAGAAACATGGAAAAGGAAAAGCTTTGTAAGGATTTTAACAGATTAAGATTACCAGCCATACAATCTCCAATGCTGTGGCCATAGATCAAAACAAACACACACACACACATAACCACAATGACAACTGCTGAACAAACAAGCAGCACACGATAAATGAGAAGAAAAAATGTCGCCAACTTCAGCTACCGCCTTTTAAGTCACTGAAACTGGCCAGAGCGAAAGAGTGCGGGGTGGGGGAGAGACTTTCAAAGTCATCAACATTACCACTCCCCAAATGGCCATAAATATATCGTTCAATACATTCTCTTTGTAGGTGGTTGGTGGTTAACCTGGTCTCTTCTTTAGCCGTCTTCGTTGTTGTTGCTACAAAATTACCTTCAACAAATCATGATCGTCATTATTGTTATTATCGGCTAGCTGCGGTCTTAGCCTCATGATCATCGCGCTTTACGACAACATTAAGCTGACACTCAAAAAGCTTCAAAATTTCGGATTTTCGTTTCAGTTTTTTTTGGGGGAATGAGGGTTTGGGGGGGGGTTGCAAACTGAAATTCAAGTTAAATAAAAATTGTGATAACCATCCACCCCCACCTACTCTTCTTTCGTTTTCTTTGCTTCATCATCACATCTTTGAATCCGTTTGTTTTCTTGTTGCTGTTGCTGTTGTTGCTGCTCAGTAGTAGTCGAATCTAATCCATTTAATGTGGTAATAGTGAGCAGCACGAGCTACACAACAATCATTCTTCAATTTTTTTGGTCTAGGAGTTTTTTCTTCTTGCATTGTTTGGCACAAAAGACGAGGAATTGGAAATGGATGAAACGAACCTTAAAAGGGTGGTGTGTAAATTCTCCAGAGATTCTCTTTATTTCCCGTTTCAGGATGTATGGAGAGAAATACGTATTTGAGCAACGTTTCCTGAAAATATTTACCAATTCCCAAAGTTGTCTAAAATTTTTATTCTGCCAAAATTTTGGACTTCCAACTGTGAACTTAGAACTGTATTTAGAACAGGTCCCGACAGAAAGCCACACTTTTATGTTCTCCCGATGTTGTCACTCTCTCATTACATTGTTTGGCAATGGTTTTGATTGTGAGTATGGCGAGAATTACGCTCTTTGAAGGCCCGCGAGCCTACTTTTGGCTGGACCTTATTTAGAGATTTAGGAAAAAAAAAATATCCAACTACCAACTTGGATTTCACCTTTCTTCCCGACTTTTTAAACCATCTCCCTACTGCTAAGGTCTCAATACCAAGAATTATGCCCTTTAAAAGCCCGCTTTTGGCTGGACCTGATTTATAGTGTTAGGAAAAATTTACCGAACTACCAAATAATTATTTTTCGATTTCACTTCTCTTCCCAAATTTTCACACCACCTCCTTTTCTTCTAAGGCCCCAATACCCCCGAAAATTATTTTTTTTGACAGCATGATTAGGCAGGCCAAATAACAAGACGCTAAATCAACAATTTATATATCGAAAACATTTTCGGAATGTGTCGGTGTGCGTGCAAAGTATTGGCGGCGGGTGGCAGACAAATGGCCCAAAAGGTTTCTACAGAAATTTGTCAGTGTGTGTGTGAGTGCCTCGATTGAATAACGGTGGATGGCTTGACAACGCTCACACTCACCTCGATGACGACGAACGCCGACGACAATTGTATCAATTGATGGCCAGCAATTGTTCGATCACTTGGTGTTATCAATAATGGATGGAGGTTGGACGGATGGATGGATGAACAGGCATTTAAATGGTGGAGGGAGTGTTGGATTGTAATCCCCCTCCCTTCTCTACCACCAGCGATCTCATTTGCGTAATCAACTAGTTTGAGTGAGCGAGTGAGGGATTTACGTTGTTTGTTTGTAAGCCCCGCTTTGGCAGATCCGTTTAGAGACGTTTCAAAAAATCTGTTTTTTTTTTTTCGTCGTTGTTTTCTCCAAGAAATTCGATTAACCGAACAATTGATTGGAGGAGTAAGTGAATGAGTACAGAGAACGCAACTGGATTTGGGTAAACGCCACAGCAGTGGTAGGTAGCCGCCGTCATTTCTTGTAGGGCTATTCATTCATTTACCAAACAATCTATTGTCTGTCCCGTTCGGCTGGCTGGCTGGCTGGTGGTGGTGCTGGCATGATTGATTGATTATATTTTCGTTTTCGTTTGGTAGCTTTTTAAGACCACAAAAGAGCATCTAAAGACCACCACCACCACTACCAGCGAATAACGCCTGATTTGTCCTCTAAATACAAAAAGAAGGTATTTTACATACCAAAGGCAAGCACACACACACACCCTCATTGTAGCCACTTTACATTTGGCCAGAGACGGTTTTAAAGGTTGGCCTGCTGGGTTTTGTTGCTGTCACACACGGTAGCCACCACCGTTAGGCCTGTTTCTTTGTTGTTGCTTCTTTGGAAGAAAACAAAATGAGATTGATTTTTGGTTTTAGCTTTCAAAGCGTTAACACTTTTTCGATTCATCCATCGCTTTGCGCACACACACACATACATACACACACTTATTACACATTATCTAATTCTCTTCAATAATTTTTTTCTGTTTCTGTTTCATTTTTTCTTCAGGTATTTTGTGATCCATCGAATCTACAGCGTCATATTCGTACCCACCACATTGGTGCCAGAAGTCACGCCTGTCCCGAGTGCGGCAAAACATTTGCCACTTCATCTGGCCTCAAGCAACACACGCACATTCACTCCTCCATCAAGCCGTTCCAGTGCGAGGTGTGCTTCAAAGCGTACACGCAGTTCTCGAATTTGTGTCGGCACAAGCGGATGCACGCCGATTGTCGCATGCAGATCAAGTGCAACAAGTGCGGTCAGAGCTTCAGCACCGTTACCTCATTGTCGAAACACAAGCGTTTTTGTGATTCCACCAACGTACCGCCGGCAGGAGTCGGATTGCCACCCAGTCTACCTCATCCAGCAGCGTTGCATCATCAGGCCCAGGCCCAATCCTCGTCGGCAGCCCAAGCTCGATCTAGCGGCGGCGGTGTCAACGGCGTTTCGCAATTTGCCAACAACATGGCCACTCCACCCAACCCCTTTTCGCTGTTCATGCGTTCACCCTATTTCCCACCATTTCCGGCAATGGCCTATGGCTTGCAGAGCATATTCCCTCAGGCTCCAGCGGTGCCCACGCCTAACTTCCCTCTGATGTTCAGCAAACCTAATGTGGATCTAAGACTACAACAGCAGCAGCAGCAGCATCAACATCAACAACAGCAGCTGCGTTCTCCAGTATCACATCAGCAACAGAGCGGTGGACATTTGAAACACAACTCCATGTCGCCCAATTTACCCAAGGAACAAATGGCGGCAGTTCATGAGGCCTTTGGTTTATCCTTGGAAAAGCAGGCAACGGAGAGAGACGACAACAAGCCATCACGTAATTCCTCTGTAGAGCGTTCGCCATCATCATCGTCGCGGGGCATTAGCCACACACAGACTCTTAAAAAAGAGTCTCAACATTATACCTCCGATGAAGAATCCAATTCCGTGGTGGAACTGAAAACTGAACCCAAGGATGAAGAAGACGAGGAAAAAGAAATTGGAAATACCAAACATCGTAGTGATGATGAAGAAGAGGAGAATGTTTCTCGACACAATGATGAAGATAAGGTGAGTATTCGAAAAAGAATAAGTCTTCGAAAACAAGATTTTTAGGGAAACTCCCTGTGTGCTCCCAATTGTTGCTAATGACCAGTTTTTTAATTATTTTATTTTATTTTCGCCTTTACAGAAATCAATTGACATTGTTTCGGTATCGCCACGCCATGAACAGGAACCCCACACCAAATCAACAGCTGCCGCCGAACTACCTCTGGATCTAAGCTTATCGCGCAAGCGCATTTCATCAAGCGATTCCCGTGAAAGCCACGAGGAAAACAGCCAGAAATCAATGGTGTTGCAGCAACACAGCCCCCGCGTTCGCAGCCCCATAGGCAATGAGGGGCTCAGCAATGCTGAAAGCTATGAACCACCCAAAAAGAAATCCTCCTCCCTAAGAGCTGCATTTGGCCTGGGCAGCAGAACATCGACTGCCTCACCGGGACCCACACCCTCACCATCGCCTCCCATGACAAATGGCAATGGAACCAATGGCATCAACGAAACCGCCCCCAATGCCAATATGCCACCCACATGTCCACGACCCATACACCCGATGCTGCTGGACGAACTCTATCGCACACACGCATTGGAATCAGCCTTTCAACGTCCGTTCCCTTTTTTAGGACTAATGGGCGAGCGGCCGGCCTTTGATGCCAATGCGTTGCGCGCTAGAGGAGAGTCGTTTCCGCCCGAACCAATCTTTCGCGAGGCCCTAAGAGGTCTGTCGTCGGGTGTAATGGCTGCCGCCGCCCATCAATCTGGAAAACTTAAGGATCGTTATACTTGCAAGTTCTGTGGCAAAGTATTTCCCCGCTCGGCAAATTTGACACGCCACCTGAGAACCCACACCGGGGAGCAACCGTACACATGTAAATACTGCGATCGGGCCTTTAGCATTTCGTCGAATTTGCAGAGGCATGTGCGCAACATCCACAACAAGGAGAGACCTTTCCGTTGTCATCTCTGTGATCGTTGCTTTGGCCAGCAGACGAATTTGGATCGCCATCTGAAGAAACACGAGGCTGAATCGACTGGATTGGCCATCAGTGATTCGCCGTCGTCAAATGAGGCTGATCGTGACGACTCGTATTTCGATGAAATACGTAGTTTTATGGATCGTGTTACATACAACGAAGAGATGTACACCCCGACGAGTATGGGCAATGGAGAAAATGACACCGACTACAATGGCAGTGATGGCGAAAATGAGCTATCCGTGTCAAGACCCTCATCGGTCGATGAGTTAAATGGGGAGAATAGTAAAACAGCGGGACAAAATGAAACGGTAACGGTTACCGAAGATGAGCAGTAATTTTGGAAGAGAGAGGATGAGGAATTTAATTTTGTTATGGAATGGCCCATATGCTGACCACGGGGTGTTTCTATTTAGCCTGTAAATATGTACTAATCATAGCATTAAGTAATTTTCAATTAGATCTAAAAAAAAAAAACATTTAAATTTAATTTTTTAAACATTTAAGCGTTATCTTTTTAATTCCTATAAGAAAAAAAAACAAACAACAACAAAACAAGTAGCAATAAGAAAAAAATTTGAAACAACAAAAAAAATTGATTGAAATGGCAACAACACCCAAAACTGATAATAAACGAAATGGAAATTGAATTGTTTAATTAAAAGAAAAAAAAAAAAAAAAACAAACTAAATTAAGAGCACTGCTATTAAAATATTTCAAAACACACACACACATACTTATTTTTTTTTATTTTTTGGTGTATCCAAACATCCTTGGAATTTGAATAATGTGTGATGATGACGATGACTTGGAAGTGATTTCGTTTGTTTCGTTTTCTTGAAATTTGTTTTGTCATTCGCATTTAATTTTGAAAACTATGAAATGACAAAATACCAACCCCAACAACAAAAACAACCACAACGAGATATTTATAATGTTATTTTGTTCTTAAGCTTAAGCAAAACAAAACTACAATATTTTGTACATAAAAACAACAACAACACCCACAACCAAAACTATACATAGTAGTAAATATATCTATAAAAACAAATAATTACACAACTTGTTTATTTATTTAGCAATAAGTGATTTTTTGGCGATAGTATTTTTTAAATATATAATTTTTGAAATACACATATTTTTTTAATATAAAATAATTTCTAGTGAAATAATTTGTTTTCCTTTTTTCATTAGTTTTAAGCCCACCCACACACACAGACACAATTTCGTTAGTTTTAATTCAATTAAAAATCTAATGAGGATCGTCAATTTTGTTTGGAAATTGGTTGCAAGTAAATTCCAACAAATTCGTATTTATAAATACCATTAATTATTGTTAGTAATTGAATTATTATCATTCTTATAATTTTGTAATTTTTTCGGTTTAGTTTAAACAATTTAAATAACAGAAAATCACAACGTAATATGAGAAAATTATTATTCAAAATAAAAAAACAAAAGAAAAAAACAAATTTAAACAAAAATATACACATAAATTTAATCAAGAAATAAAAATGTGTTTTCATTTTTTTTATTCTCCTGATTTAGCTCCCAGTGACTTTTATTTGTTCCCAAATCTAAAAAAATTTTTTGCTGGCAAGCATTTTATCTCAAATGAAGATGCAATTACAGTTGCTATTTTAAGAACTTGAGGAAAACTATTTTATTCAAGGGATAGAATTTGTAGACAAGCGTTGGACTAATTTTTTTGAAGCTTCAGGAGATTCAGTTGAAACATAAAAATATTTTTGACAACCCTAATATTCTCTTTCATTGATAGGCTAAGAATTTTTAGAACCGCCCTCGTATGAAAAGGAGTTGTAGTTGGGTAGTGGATTACATAAAATAACCAAACGTTTTATGAAAAAAAAATCAGTCGGTTTTGCCGACAGATGTATACCCTCAGCCAATGTCCGTTCATTTAAATATATATTTTGACTTCTGTTACGATTATTCAAATTGTTGACCCTTTATGGAGTAGGTTCCGAAGGAATGGGCCAATATTGTACATTTCGTATCGGACCTAAATAAATATTATATAAATATTGCGATGTTCCAGGTTTGGACTATATGGACAACTTCCTTCACTTTATATGAGGTATGTGACAATTTTTAGAAAATGTTAAAAGTGTGCTCGACGTTCCACATATAGTCGACCGAAGTATTTCATAAAAATACTGAAATGGGCAAAATTACAAGAACATCGAACATTTATATCCAATCTTATACGAAGTTACGATACATAAAAGTATTGACAATTGTGACGCTTTGTGTGTGAGGTACCAGAAGCGGTACTTCACAAAAGATCTTGCTTTACCAAAAATATTTTGATGTGTGAAATTTCAAGAGAGTTGGATGCTTATTACGCTTTCTTTGAACGTTTTGTTTTTCAAAATCTTGAATCCTATGTGGGGGGAAAACAGAACAAATTATCCGATCTTCACCAACTTTATAACAGTTCTTGTGTTCATGGAAATATTAAGATGTACCAAGTCTGGATAGAATCGAATGTTAATTTCACGTTTTATGAGTTTTATGAATACTCAAAATTTCGAACCTTTCTGGGGAGGTGGGAAGTGAACCGATATATCCCATCTTCACAGCAGATTTTGTATCAGTAGAAATAATGAGATGCGTGAATTCTGAAGAGAACCGGATGCTTATTTCGGATTTTATGATTGTTTTGATTATTCAAAACTTTGACCCAGAAGGAATGGTCCGATATATACCATCTTCTCACCAGACCTTGAGTTAATAAAAATATTATGAAGTATGTAATATGAAGAGAACCCGATACTTATTTTGGATTTTATGACGTTTTTGTTAATCAAAACTTTAACCCTTTGTGGGGGAGGTACCAGAAAGAATGGTCCGATCTCTTCCATCTTTATAACAGCCAAGCCTCAAAGGAATCGGATCTTAATTACGTGTTTTATGAGCTTCATGAATATTCAAAATTTAGACCCTTTGTCGGGAAGGTACCAGAAGGATTGGACGAAATATACCCCATCTTCACACAAGACCTTGGGTTAATAAAAAATATTGTGATGTGTGTATTTTGAAGATAATCTGACACTCACATCACATTTTATAAGTATTATAATTATTTGTGGGGGTGGTTCTGGGTGGAGTGGATCGATATTGTCTATTTTCGCACCTGACGTAGCACAGATGTAAATATTGGGATTTGCAAAGTTGGAGCCAAATCGGATTATCCTTTCTCTTTATGTACAGTAAATTATTATTATTATTATTATTATTTTTTTTTTTTTTTTTGAAAAAGTTGACATTTTGATGTCCATATCCGAACTCGATTAAGGTTTGAAAATAATATAACGATGTACCAAGTTTAAACCAGTTTGGATACTCCCTTGGGGAGTTATCGTGTGCAAGAGCAAACTAGACAGATCGCTAGATCGACTCCAAATATCCTGAAGCAAATTTTGTCCAAAGACACTTTTAATTTAAAACAATTTTGGAACAAAATTATCATGTCCGATGAAGCCCATTTCAGATTGAATGGGACCGTAAATAAGCAAAATTGCCGTTTTTACGCCACTGAAAATCCTCAGGAGATTCAAGAAGTGCCTCTTCATAACGAAAAAGTCACAGTTTGGTGCGGCGTTAGTGCGAAAACGGTCATTGGGCCGTTTTTCTTCCAAAATGAAAATGGCCATGCTGTTACCATCAATCAGGAGCGTTATCGCGACATGATGACCAATTTTGTGATGTCAATTATTCGTCGAAAGCGTATAAGGCAGTTCTGGTTTCAACAAGACGGCGCTCCACCGCACACAAGTCGCATAACAATCGATTTTCTGAAGAATTTGTTTCCGGGCCGTTTGATGTCGAAAAGTGGTGATTTGGACTGGCCACCGCGTTCGCCCAATTTGACGTGGCCTGACTTCTTCTTGTGGGGATATTTGAAGTCAAAGGTTTACGTTAACAAGCCAAGGACCATAGAAGAGCTCAAGGACAACATTCGTAAAGAAATAGCCGTTATTCCGGCCGAAATGTTGGCAAAAACGATGGAAAATGCAGCAAAAGGGGCACAATACGTCATCAACGCCCGAGGCGGCCATTTGAGAGATATCATATTCAAAAATTGATGTAAACAAATCTACTTGGAACAAATTAAATGATTAACATTGCCAACCGCCAAAATTTTTATTTTTTTTTTTTTTTTTTTAAAAAAAAAAACAACTTTTTTAATTAAAATCAACCTTTAATTACGGATCGCTGACAGATAATAATGCTATTATTACCATCAGCCGCATTTCTACTGCTCTTAATAAAATTATTTAATTCTAATCTGATTACACCGGCACTCACACATACTCACACTCATTCCCAACATACATGAAAACTGAAAGTAATGGATTACAACTAAAAATTGCAAAATCCAAATGACGAAGAAATAGAAAAAATCCAAACCATTGACCGCATTGTCCGGCCTGACTCTACAAAGTATCAACATCAACGGAGATTTACATAGCGAAATCTTTCGACATATTTGACATAAATTCCTTTTCGTCCAGCTACGCCAATTGCTACGATTCCGATACGATGTTGAATCAGAACACATAATGCCTCGGCCGCCGGTGCTGCCGCTTCACTAACACGTTTCTTATTTAGAATAGCACAGAAGTTTTTACTTTCATTAACTGCGCATGCACGACACAAATCTCTGTGACAACGCCATAAATCTTTCCAAGTTGAGGCAGCGCACAGCACCACCACTAACCAAGCAACCGGTGGCTTACTCAGCGATGGATACGGTACTGGGGCACATAAACAACCGGCCATAGTCATCCAATTGGAGACACTACCTCCACCATCGTTTGGTTACACTGGCATCCGGACTTCCATTAACTGTGTGGACGACAGTCAGGCTGGTTAGCTGACTGGCTGCCAGGCTAGCACATGCATGCATGCGATTCTATTAATTTAAGGCAGCCACCTTCATTCGTTAGAAGTTTCATTTTCATGGTTTCGATTTTCGAGGATTTTGTCAGATTTTTAGATTTGATAGGCCCCCCTCGACTCTTCGGGCCGCAGCATTGCCTGCCATAAGTTAGCAAAAATGAAATTGCAATTGACAAATTTTGCACGCATGAAATTGAAAGGTTTCGTTTTTTTTGTTGCCTAGTTCGCTTAATGAAATATACCCTGAACCGACCAAGAATCAGAATGGTCAAGAGTGAACCTAACTGTTTTATTTTTTTTTTAATGGAAAGGAGGAACGGACAAACATTTGCCTCGTCGAGTGAATGACTGCTCAAATGTTTGCATATGATCCGCAAAGCCAAGAGTCGTCTATGGCAGCCTAGAAAACGAAAAAAAAGGAGACACCAAAAAAAAAAAAAAAAAAAAGAACAGTCAAATCGAAGAACATGCAACATGAAACATGGCCAAAATCTGTCTATAACGATGTGATAAAAATTAAGCTTAGAGTGCCTTTAGTTGGGCAAACACCACACCACAAATAGACAGCACGAGATTTTAATTTCAATATAAACGTGTTTTTGTCGATTTCAAAAAGTACGAGGGAGGGTTGCTATATTTATGTCATTTTATGTATGATTTTAAAAACACATTTTAAAATACCATGGCATTAAACGAATTGAATGTAATTAAAC